GATGACGATGTCCCACCTGTGCCGGCCCAGAAGTCATTGCTTCCCGAGCCGAAAGTCCTTTTTGTGTGTGTTTATAGGCCTCCTTTTGCAGCTTCACTCGGCACGTCGTGTTGCATTGTCCAGTCCAACCACGTCTGCAGCATCGTGCTTCATTGGGCGGGGGTGCGGCATGCTATTTCTTTGCTCTCTGAACCGCCTGGAGGATGGGCGGTCCCATTTCTGGGCATTTAGACAGCACCCTGAATGTCCTCGACCCGCGCTCCAGCATCGTTATTCACTGTCCGGAGGATCCATGTGACTGAGTGTGCGCAGTCGCCCTGACAACTGAAAAGATTCCATGAGCATCTCCTCCCCGCGAATGGCGCACGCCCAGGACGCACCGTTCCCCTCACGGCTGTCTGCATGCCGGAACCTGGCGCAGCCGGCGTCGCAAAGGTGGCCCAAGACGCATCCAGGAGCTGTGGCCAGGCGTTGCATCCATCATGCGTTCCAATACGCCGTCAAATGGTGCGACTGCGATCCTCCGTACAAATCCCTGCCTCCCACGGATTCCCCACTTGGTTCCCCGTGTGCCGAGTAACAGCTCCACTTCCTCTGGCGCGTCATGAATCTGCATGATCTTTCGATTGTCTCTGCCATATGGGACGCATTCCAACCTCCCGTGGCAGAAGCGGTGGAGATTTGTGACGGGCCTGGCTGAGTGCTGATGGTCGCCAAGTTGTCGTCCCATTGATTGTCATGAGCAACCCTTGCAACGGCGCCAATCGGATGCGCACCGCATGGAACTGCGCGTGGGCATCTGAGCTGCACGCCAATATTTTTTACCCTCCAACTGAGCCCGGGCACACTCATATGGGCCAGTGCAGCGCCAACTGCCTTCCTTCAAGTGCCGCCCACTTGCTCCAAACAGTGGTGTGCTTCTTCCTCTTCAGAGAGGCTCGAATGGACTCAGGGTTCCTCGGCACGGTGATGGCAGCCACAGAGTGCCGCAACGAGGTGCAATTCATCCCGTTGTCCTGGAACCGCCTTGCGGCTAGTTCACCGCCCGCTAATGGTGAGAACGCCGCCCACGTGGTGACTCAATGGCGGGTAATTCGCTGGGCAAAGACAAAGTGCCGCTGGACCACCCCGCCTCAGAATGTGGTCGTGGGCGTCTCGTGGACACCGTCCAATCCATGAGTCCGCCCATGAATTCCTCCCCCAATAAATATGCTTCGCGCCACGCCTCACAACGATAGATCGGAGGGAATATTCGCCCGGGTCGCTGGACGGATCCTGAGCTTATCAATAATAGAAACCAAACAAGATGGGAATAGGAAAGGGGTAAATGGAATAAAATAATGGATTCACCACAAACTCAAGTTTTAACACAAAGTAATAATATATATATCATCCATTGGCCACAATCGTGGTCCGTTTACTCTATTCGGATGGGATGTATATTTATTTATTCCTTAAGAAGTGGCAGACCTTGGGACCTTCCAGCTAAAAGACCCCGCCGCAAGCGGTGGGAATCAGAAGATGTGTGGAAAGGTAAAATTAAAGAAAAAAAATGATACGCTCCAACAATACAAATGGCTTCTTTTCTCTAAACGCCGCTTCACACACACATACACTGATTCTTTTGCGTTCTTGACGCACGAACCAATTCAATTTGGAAAAATATTAGTTCGACCTAGAGTAAATAGCAGAGAAAAAATAGAGGCCGCTCAGGACCGCGCACACATGTATATATATATATTACTATCAAGGCATCTCTTTTCAATTGGAGATAAATGTGCCCGTAAGGAATTAAAAATGATTAAACAAGATAAACAGTACTGACCAAGAACTGGCACATTTACAATTGAACGGTTACAAAACGCGTTTTTTTAACGAAATCATTAACACATTGACATAAAAATAAGGACCAGTAAAATCAATGGAATCGATGGAAAAGCTGACAGCAAACTGCTCACGCCTCCGCCTCCCCTGCATGCATCGATGACAATACATACATCGTCGTACTTTGGACACAAAATCCTCCCTTGCATGAACAGCCCAGTTGGTGTAATACTGCTGCCCTCCGGGCATTTGTGCCACTTACCGTGTCCAAGGTACCGCACGTTCACCTCGCCCTTGTCACACGACACCTCAGCGCACACGTCACCAATAAAACCCTCTGAATCAGCAAGTCCATCCCCTTTCAAGCACTTTGACGTCGGGCCAACGCGGCTCCCACGCATGAGGGCCTTATTCCCATTACTGCACTTAGTGATTTCATGCAATTCAATGTAAGGGCAGAAGTCCATTAAGGTGTTGGGCAAACCGCCAAGTTTGGGATTCGAAAAGTACTGAAATTGTGGGGGAAGGGGAGCGTCGTAGAGATGGATTGTACAGTGCCCCAGCCCCAGGCGATCAGACGTGCATGAAAAAAGGCGGCTTTCAGCGGTGCAAAACATCTCTGGATACTTGGTGACGCCATTTATCACGCATTTCTCCGTCAGCAGCGCGCAGCCGGAGTTGTTGCCCCATGACATCGGTTCCTCCTTTCCCCAATTTGCCCTATAAAAATCGGTGTCCTCAAAAGCAGCCATTGTCAACGCCGTGTAGTAGCCGATTCCGGAAACACCAGCCATCAGCTCGTCCTTTGCGTTGCGTCTCTTCCAATGCGACGATGCTGTTCCGTTCCCACCCTCGTCCTCCAGCTCCATGCCGGTAGCACTCATGCAGTTGAAGTGCTCACGAGTCTTCTCCACCGTCTTGGGTGACGATACCTGAAGCACCTTTGCTTTGCCACGTACACCCTCAACCTCTTTCAACATATTGCGTTCCTTCATTATCCTCACAATAAACCCAAGAGCATGTGCAATCTCATGCGCTGAAACACGAACACTGTACTCCGAATCAGTGACAAAGCTCGGGTCATAATTCACCACTCCGGCAACGGGACGCCCGTCGGCTAAGCGAGAGCATGAAGTAGCCCACGCAAGAGAGGAACCTTTTGTCGAGCCAGCGGAGACATACAATAGCATGTCCGCACCAAAAACACCCACTGTGTGGTGGGAGCTGGGTATTGTAAACTCGGCGCATGTACCTGACAAGAACTCTGGTACAATAAGGTAGCCCGTGAGAGGTTCAACAAGGAGACGATCCGTGTGAATTTTAAGTGCTCGGGGAACAAGGGATTTCAATATGATGGACTTTTTTTCCTTCGTCAAAATATCCCTTTTATTACACTCAACAGTTCCCCCAGTAAAGTCCGGACGAATCTGCCCCTCAGCGGTGCAGTATTTTGAGGGATCCTTCAGATCCTCCGTGAAGACTTGAAAGCGGATGGGCGCCCATTCGGGAGCCGAGGCAGTCAGCGCCCGCATCATGCCACCTCCCCGAGTTGGCAGCTCTAGCACCACTGCTGTCGTCCGGGGGCCAACCTTTTTTTCAATTTCTTCGGAGATGCAGTGATGCTCTGCGACGGCAACAAAACCAGAGACGCAGCAGAGCAGCAGCACCAGCAATAGCATAGTGTGACGCATCCTTGTATGTGTTTTTTCTTTTGGGCCTTTCACAGTGCACTTTAGCTGTTTGTATGCTTGTCAATTGGATTACCTTGAGAGAATAAATGAATGGATTAAATAACTTGTGTATTCTCAATAAAATACGGCATCAGTGAGTTATGGTAACTGCTGAAATACACATTGAATACAATATTACGAAATTATCACGGCTTTTTTTTTCTACAATAAACCGGGTTACCTTCGTGAAAGACTGGCCATTTGTTTCACTGCGGTTGACTGGAAAATTCACTCCGGTCCAGTGATGGCACTCCGCCTCTTCACTTTTTTTGCCGTTCTTTACATTTTCTTCTGTTTTTCCCCTAATCTTACCAACATGTCTAGCCACACGATGCCATCTGAGTGCCGAAGAGGTGGTCGAGCAACGACAAAAGTTTCCTGCTATGAAGCAACTGCCATTAAGAGAAATTTCCGAGGCGAAGGTCCTGTTCAATGCCCAGCCGTTGACGCACAGCCAAGGTGCCTGGACATTCTAGAAGCAGATGGTGCAAGGTTTCCTGCGGGCCAATTGGCGTGCTTGTGGAGCTGGGTGATCCTGCGGCAGTAGAGATCGCCTCCTGGCACTGCTGCTGTGTCGGTTGGCGTCAGGGTTGTGTGCGCAACGCGTTCTGTGCTGTGCGGTGCTTTTCCGTGTGGGGAAAACCATGTCACAGAAATCACATTTGAGCTCGGGAAGCGGTGGAGGATGTTCCGGGTGAAATGACCGACAGTGACTGACGAGACCCGAGAATCCCGTCAATGTGGAATCACAGTGCGGACATTTCTCCTTCCGACGGCGTGTGAGGGTCCGTCTCCTTACTGGAGAGACGTCTTCCTCCCTCGCCGACGGGGGAACAGTGTCCGTCCCCGGTGCAGTTGGATCGTTGTTAGAGCGCATATATGCAGACTGTTCCGGTGAGATGTTGCAGAATCGGCATTGGTTCGTGCAATCCCTCACGGCCCAGTATAGTCGGCCCCAGAGCTCAGATTCCCCGCACCTTGCCCTTGCGAGGTGAACCAGTTCCTGACGGTGTAGAACCTCCTGAGTGATCAGGTCCTTACCGCTGAGATCTGATGGCCTTGTGCCGCAAAGCAAGTAGCGATGAATGTCTTGACGGATGGTACCACGCCACTTGTTGGTGAGCTGGGTAGTAAAACATGTCAGCAGATCCGTATGCCATAAAGGTGCGATTCCTTGCTCCGTGTATTGTCCACTTTCCATAGTCTGCGTCGCATACTGATCTGCAGGCTCGTTAGCATGTACTCCGCAATGTCCGTAACAAAACTGCAGGTGCATGGACCAGCCAGCACACGTCAGTGTCAAGAGACGCTGCCAGATCTGATCCTCCGTCCAGTCTGTCTGACTGAGCGGGCCCATGTTTAGAGCCGCTAGAAGAGACTGACTGTCCGTAACCACAAGCAGAGCTTTACGCCTGTTTTGGATACGAGGGATCATCAGCTTCTCTAGGGCTAGAAGCAGCGCACGGGATTCCGTCCTGTAGCTGCATGGGCGTGCACCGCAGTTTATACTGGCCTCAACGTGATGGGCGGCCCTGAAGCGGGGATGCGAAGAGTAATGCGGACGAACCTCCTTTCACCGTCGTTCTCTCGAGGTGCTCGACAACAGGCGCGCCGGTGGTGCAGTGATCATGACCATTTATTCCGCACTGCACCACCTGCCACCGTATTGCATAAAATTCGCCGTGTTCGCCGTTGCTCTCTCCACCGCCCCATCACCACGCCGGCCTTTCCAACACGGCGGATCGGAGCGTCGCCAAAAGCTGCCCCAAAAGCCAACACACCGGACCCATGGTGCCTTCTGTGACTCCCCCGCTGTGCCGAAAGTCCCTCCAGCAGCGCAAAGGCCGTCCGCCGTGTGCGCGCCTCTTGCGTGCGGTAGGAAGTCCCTCCGCAGCACCTCCCAGGGGCTGCTGGCAACAGCGGAGACGCACTTGCGCTACAACCCGTCCCGCCGTGGCTAAGGGACCCGGCTCCAACCGCTTTTTGTTGTTTTTTCTCGTGTTTCCTCAAATAAATTCGACGGCCCACACGCCGGCTACCATCGTCGAGCATGCCCGCCCTGCTGAGTGGAGACATGAAGGGGAGCCCCGGCCCCCGGAGAGGCAGCTGCAGCGGAGGGCGTGAAACACGACCCTGTCACGCCTCCGCCCCGAAATAGCACCGTGGTTCAATCATCCATTGCTGCCGATAATCAGCAAATAACAAGACCACAAATCAATCAGCCAAATAATCGATCAATAATGAGAAGTGAGGAGGCGCCTGCCACCAGCATCGACGTTGTGCCGCATCTTCGAGGAGCTTCGTGCCTTCTCGCCGCGCGGAGGCACTGTTGGGGGGCAGAGCCTTTCCACCCCGAGAAGAGACTGCGCCAACCCTTTCGTGAGGCACAGCTTCCCCACTTCCCAAGTGTCCACCTCATGCTTTGCCCAATTGCCGGCAAAGCCGGGAAGTGGAATGGATGCGGAATTGTTTCATTGCACAATTCACGTTCGCCGGTTTTCGCGACGTCCGGTTGATGCCCGTGGCGTGCCGTGCGGTGGCGGGTCAGTCCGACATTGCTTTAGTGCTGAAAGCCACATGTTGGGCAGCAAAACTCCACCAGTGGTGATCCCATCGGAGCCTCGTCGGCGGGCGAATTGCGTTTGGCACCCGTTCCCGCCAGCCGCCAACAATTCCCCCGCCCCCAAAGCAGTAAACCGCTCCATCCGTGCATAGATGCGTCTGTCGCCAACATGGCAGGAGCTGGCGAGGCTGCCCCAAGGCAAGCGAGCTCCTTCTCCGGCAATTTGCGGGGTCGCTCCTGCCGCACTTTCGGTGCGTATGGCGGCACGCCTGCCGGATCGTGAGAACACGACAGTCGGGGATGCAATATGTTGAAAAAACAAGAGCTAATATCAAAAGAGAGAATCCCCCGCACCGCCGCGCAGCATCTTACGGGGGCCACACCATCCACACCCTCAGCTGCATGCTTTCGGAGAAACGCGGCCTCCCTCAATCCTCGTATTCGCATCGTGCCTCAAGGCGGCGCTCTTCGTCTCGCGGCTGAACGATAAGCCAATAGATCCACACCACTTGGCAAGGACCTCCTGTTCTCCTGTTGGCGCCACTTTTTGGCCGCACATTGGTCCCGTCGAACCACGCTCCTCCGCCGCCCGCTGGTTCGGATACTGCTAATCCCAACAGAAGTCTCCTTACCACGCGCGGCGCCACAGACTGCGGTCTTACCATCTCGGGGTCTTCCGCCAAGACCCTCGCGGTGGTGCGGGGAACTTCCGGACAACACTCGTGGCCCGTGTGGGGGCGAGTCAATTCCACAAGATCCACAAATCCCACTCGACAGCCAAAACTCGCCCGTGCATATCCGCCAAAAGAGCTGCCTGTAAAAAGGCGCATCCACATCCAGTAAAGCGGCGGCTTCGTCCCATAATGCGCTAAGATACTGTGAAATGTGAAATGGCAGAGCAACCATGACCCCGGCGTCCTCATGGGCGTTCCGTGCCCTTGGCAATGCGATGAACCGCCATCCACGCACTGACGGCTTGTCCACCACCGCCGGCCCACCCCGCGACAGGCCCCTCCATGGCTCTACAAATAATACCCGCCCTTTTCACAAGCAGCGCATGCTGTGCGGAGTTCCGCAAATTCATTTCGTTCCCATCGC